CAAAAAAAAAACAAAAAACAAAAAAAAAAAGGGGGGGTGGGCGCAATGATAGGTTTTCTTCCCCCTCCCCGCTGGTTTCCTTCCTCTTGTTAGTAAAGCAAGGGCTTAACTCGGATAAAGACCAAAGATCCCCGGGCGTGGGGGGGGGAGGAAAAGAGAAAATGATCATTTCCTTAACTGACTTGGCCTAGTTTCCCCCTTTTCTCCCCCAATTCCCTTTAGCCTATTGTTTGAACATTGGGTGGGATCTTTTCGCTTCTCCTCCTGTTCCTTCTCCATTTCACCCCTTTTATCCCTCTTCGCTTATGCAAAAAAAAAAAAACATTATAACCCAAGGTTGCAGGCAGCCAAGCTAATGATTTAAAGAACCGCAGGAAGAAATTTTTTTAAAAAAATTACAAAAGGTGGCAATTATTATTCTAGCATTGCTCCTGGCCCTTGCCTTAAGCGTAAGAAGCGAAAAAGAAATAACCCAAGGTTGCAGGCAGCCAAACTAATGATTTAAAGAACCGCAGGGAGAAATTTTTTAAAAAAATTTACAAAAGGTGGCAATTATGATTCTAGCATTGCTCCTGGCCCTTGTCTTAAGCATAAGAAGCGGAAACAAAACCACCCTTTTTTAATTTCAGAAGCTCTAAAGGAAAAAAAAAGGGAACAGGACTGAGAAACCTGGCGTAATCCTAACCCTGATGCTGTATAAGAAAAGAAAGAGGATTACCTGCTTACCGCCGCACCGGCTCAAAATAAATACCTCGAAGGACCCTCCGCGAGAAGGACTAAGCAAGAAGCGACTCCCCTGCGGGCCCCCGTGGGCTTTATATAACGCCGGAGAAACTTCCAGAATAGCCACGCCTCTTTCCGGACCGCGGACCAGTCCGCCGCCGCCGCACGTCCGTTTTCCCCGCCTCCTCCGACCAATGGGGTTGAAGGGAACGCATGCGGCCTGTGTGACGCAACAAAGGGGAGCGGGGAGGGGGCGGGGCGCGCGGTGATTCAACGCGGCGAAGCGGCCGGCTTTTTTCCCCCCGGCCGCGGCCTCCTTCCTTCTTCTCCTTCTAGAACGTTCATCCCTCCCAGCGCGAGAGCGAGCGTTGGGGGGGGGGAGAAGAGGCCGAGGAGGAGGAGGGCGAACCAATGGGAGCCGGGGGGGGGGAAAGACATCGTCTTTATTTGCATAATCGGATCGCTGGTGGCCGGGAAGGAAGGAGGAAAGGCCAATCGCCTCAGAATATTAGACTCGCCTAATTTACATAATACGCGGCGGGAGGGCCGCTGGCTGAGGAGGAAAGCGAAAAAAGGGAACGCGGGTGATGGGGGGGACAAAAAGTTAGCGGAGCCGGCGATGGGGGAGCGGACCAATCAGCAGAGCCGCTTTGGAGGATGGCGTGGAAGCTGTCCAATCGGCGCTCTGGTTACCTCAGAGCGGGAAAGGGAGTGGGCGGGATGAGGAGAGCCGCATCTTTGGCGTTGGCCTTTGTGGGCGCGGGAGGGGGAGAAGAAGGGAGGAAGAAAGGGAGCTGGGCACAAAATGGCGGCGCGGCGCCCTCTGTTGCCGCAGGCGGTTGGCCGCGGGCCAGCCGAGCGGGGTTAGCTGAGGACGCAGGCGTCCCGGCGGGTGGAGCGGGCAGGGTTGGGTTGCCCTAAAAACGCAACCCTCCCATTCACGGGAAGGAAAGCTAATTAATCTTTCCACCGACGAGGTAGGGAACCCATTTGCAGAAATTCTCTCCCCCCCCCACAGTCGCGCTTTTTGAAACCAGGACTTGCTCACATTTCAGGTTCCCTGAGAATCATCCCTGAGGTTTGGTGTTGGTTTCCTCACCACCACCGTTTCAACGCCTGATTATTGTTTTAAAGGCGGGCGCCTTTTTCAAAAGGGTCGCGGGTCCACGTTTCAGCTGTCCTTAGTCTTACGGTTGGTTCCTCGTCGTCCTCTGGCCCGCGTTTCCTTTTTATTTCACGAGAATGTCGTCCTGAGGCGAGAGGCTTGAGGCTTAAACTCTCCTCCGCGGAGGGCCTTACGAGATTTCCCCCCTTAAATCTTCTCTTAAAAAAAAAAAGTAGCCGTTTTCTTCTGTTCCAGGATGTACCGCTGAGAAATGAAAAACAAAAATGTTGCAGCTCCTTAAAAGCTTAAAAAGCTTTTTGTTTCAGTGTTGAACTACAAGTTTATATACGTATATAACACATTGTATCCTTATGCATAATCCCTGGGGTTGGCAGTTCTATTTTACTCCACGTGTCTGAGGCGTAGGAAATCCCACAACGAAATACTGTAATATTGTTAGTCTTTAAGTTGCTACGATACTATTAACTCTGCTACTCATCCTTCAAGTTATTTAGGCAAATGGCCATTTCTAAATTTTTGGCATTTTTTCAAGGTTAAGCCTTCTTGAAGAAACATGTATTTGGGGCACTAAGGCACAGTCTTGTATTTTTATTCTTTGTTTGCCTCTTGCACTTCTATGACATTTTCTCCAGACAGTGGGACACAAGGCAGCTCACGAATCAGTCAAAACATGATAAATAGCCATTGAAAATAGTTAAACAAAGGATCGTGAAAGTTGTCGCTTGAAACAGGTTTAAAAATAAAAATCTTTAAAAGCACATAGAAAGATACATTACCAGCAAATGTAGGAAAACGAGCCATGTTAATGTAAAACACCAAAAGCACATTGGAATAAAAATGTTTTGACTTGCCATGGAGAAGCTACGGTCCAGTCTAGCCTCACTGGTGTTGGAACCAAGAAAATGGCTTCTGTATCACCTTAAGATTCAAGGAAGGTAGTACAGTATGGGGAAATACCATCCAGACAACCCAGACCCACGCTGTAAAGAGCTTTACAGATCATAATCAACACCTTGAATTGGGCTCAGGAAGGTAGTACAGTATGGGGAAATACCACCCAGACCCACGCTGTAAAGAGCTTTATAGATCATAATCAACACCTTGAATTGGGCTTGTAATCATCCATGTTATTGTCTAGTCATTAAGTCATGTTTGACTCTTCGTGGCCTCATGGACCAGAGCACACCAGACCCACGGCCTCCCTAAGTTTAGTCAAATTCATGTTGGTCGCTTCGATGACACTCCAACCATTTCACCCTCTGTCGTCCCCTTCTCCTCTTGCCTTCACACTTTCCCAACATCAGTGTCTTTTCCAGGGAGTCTTCTCATCAGATAGCCAAAGTACTGTATTGGAGCCTCAGCTTCAGGATCTGTCCTTCCAGTGAGCACTCAGGGTTGATTTCCTTGAAAATTGATAGGTTTGTTTTCAGTTGGGCTCTTACAGCCTGAAGAAATGAATCTCATCTTGCTACAGAAAAATCCTTTCATGCTTCTCAGAGACGTCTTTGTCCCTAAGGTGTATTTTTCCTGAGAAATCTGTTTACTAGATATGTTAATTTTAAAGTTTAGCTAGAGTGCTATCAATAAGAGCTACGGTACTTCTAATGAAGTCTTGTGGGATCTATCCTGTTTCCCCGAAAAATAAGACAGGGTTCTTGTATTAATTTTTGCTCCAAAAATGGAGCAAAGGCTTATTTTAAGGCTTATTTTCAGGGGATGCTTTATTTTTGTAATGTAAATTCTACCTTTATTCAAATACAGTTATGTCATCTTCTGGTTGCTGCACAGTGGTGGAGGATGGGCTTTCACTTAACTAGGGCTTATTTTGGGGATAGGGCTTATAAGCATCCTGAAAAATCATACAGTACTAGGGCTTATTTTCAGGGAAACAGGATATCTGCAATTACTTTTTCTTTTGCAGAACTGCATTCAGTCATGAAATTCATAAAACTCTGTAGTCGTGTGCATCCGGAAGGTTGACATTTCAATTTTGCATTTGCTCTTGAAAGTTTTGTCTCTAAGCAACTTATATACTTTGAAATTACTTATATTGATAATATGCTTGACTCTAATTAGAACAACATGAATGCTTCCTATTAACAGTTTACATAGAAAGTGTCAGGTCTGCCCCTGCATCTTATGTTTTCTGGAACCCATTGTTTACCAGTCTTTTAGTGCACTCTAGACTCTCAGATCATTGACCTTTGATTAACCAGGAGGTGACAGCCCACTTCTATTTCCAGCATGGACTCCACTCTTCTCACACACACAGAACTGATGACATTGCACTGTCTCATCTTCTGTCTTATAAACACTTTTGGCTAGGTAGATGTAGTTTCTCTCACTTCCCTTTTTCATGCTGTCACTTTGCTCCTCAGTTCGGAAAGTTTCATTACTCACTGAAACATAAGCCGCAGTTTACTCTTAGGAATGCCATGGTGTTGTAAAATATATTAAAATTATAAGGTACTGATTTTTTAAAAAGGAAAAACAGCTATAGTACAGTAGAAAAAAGGTGGAAACCAAAAGGAATTTAAACTGGTGGTTGAAAATGCCAGTTTTGGCAGTTTTGGCACTATTTACAACTCCATGGAAAAAGTGTTCCATACTTAGGGTTCTACAATCAAGAAAGTTGTGATATATTGATTGCGGCCTGCAGTATTCCAAGAGGAGCTTTCCTGACCATCTCAGGTCATAGATTTGCTGATGTAGGGAGGTATAGGTATTGCATTTAAAACTGTTTATGGTTTTAAAAGGTAAACCCTATAACCGTGAATTGGTCTCAGAAGTAAAAAAAGGTGACAGTGCAGCTCTTCAGAAATGATGTAATAAGATTACCATAAGCTACTTAAACGCCTTTATTCTGCACACCTTATGTTTCTGGGTCATCTTCAAGTACACACTCCCATGCACAGCACATTATAGCAGGGATGGGCAAAACACACCTCTCCATATCTTAAGATGCACTTTGCAGCATGGCTTACCATTGATTATGATGGCTAGGGTTGATGGGAATTGGTGCCCAGCAGCATCTGGAGAACTATACTTTGCTCAAATCCTGTGATGTGTAATCCAGTTGTTCAGTCACCAGAGCATGAACCGCGGGCAGATTCTCTGGTAAGATACCTCTAGCCACTGAGGCTTCCTGGGCTCAAGAAGTAGTGAAGAAGTATGCACTCCCTTTTTCAGAGGGAAGAGTAATGCTACCTGGGATTCTACACATATTTTCCATGTGTAAGATGCCCCAATCTATAAGACGGCCCCCACTTTTCTAACCTCAAATGAAAAAATTTGATTGCTGCTTTCTTCGCCACTTCCTAAGCCTGGGGCTTAGCAATAGGAGGGGGAAAGCAACAATCAAAGGGCTGCAGGATCCCTTTGATGGTTGATTTCCCTGCCGCTTCATAAGCCCACAGAGTTTAGCAAAAGGAGGGGAAAAGCAGTGATCAAAGAGCTTTGATTCTTGCTTTCAAGCACTTTCCTCACAAGAAAGTGGAGGGGGAAAGCAGGAACCATCAAAGCGCTTTGATTCTTGCTTTCCTCCTCCACTTTTTGTGAAGAAAAAAGTGCTTTGATTCTTGCTTTTCCCCCTTCCTCACTTTTGTGTATAAGACGAACCTCAATTTTTAATCTAAATATTTTAGAGAAAAGCATTCTCTTATGCATGGAAAAATTCAGTATTTAGTTCTCAGATATAGATACCTATAAAGTTTCTACCATTAGGATTCAGTTATGTTGGCCTGTATCCAGCCTTTCACTGACTCCAGGCATTGTTTCAATAACTGAGCAGTCTCAGCCGACTCAGATAACAAGGAGAAATAGAACTGCAACTAACATTAAATTGGTGATCCACCACCCTGCCCCCCCAGCAGCATTGTACAACAGCTTCAATTAACAACAACAGTTGTTAAAAATAATATGAGAAAACATGGATATTTATAGGACTTCACAGGCAAAATACCATTAAATCCCCCAATGCAAGTTTCTGAAATTAACCCAACAGGTAGGAGTAAAATTGTTGTGTTTTCAATCCAGTTAAGGCAGTGGTTCCCAACCACGATGTTCTTTGACTGCAGCTCCCACAAGCCCTTGCCAGCACAGTTAGTGGTGAAGGCTTCTGGGAGTTGCAGTCCAAGAACCTTAAGAGACTCAAGGTTGGGAACACTATTACAAAGTCATTGTGGGGTACAACAATCCTTTGATGGATTTTTTTTCTCTCCCCCCTTTTTTTCTTTTTGCTTTGTACATGGAAACTTTTGAGGAGTTGCAATGGCTCAGTAAAAAGAATCAAAATGTCTTGGAATTTAAAATAATATTTAGTCTTCAGGGGAACCCCTCATAGAAGGCTTTAGTTTCAAAACTTTGATTAAAATTATGATAGTACTCCAAGTTTTGTTGAACTGCAGTACTTAGCCTGCTGCCTCTTTATTTAAAAACAACAACAAAACAGTCTTACTAAATTGTTGATTCAAAGGAATCTACAATAAATATTTGCTTCCCTTTTTGTTGCTCATTCTGAGCACAAGTACACCAATAATAGCAGGTAAAAGAGAAGTAGTTTACCAGTTTACCAATCAAGAACTGAAGTAAAACTAGAGAAAATTTATGCAACAACACTAGATAGTAACTTGTATACAGAGTACAGTAAATACTTTAAATAGATTATTTTACAAAATAAATGTTTCCTTTTTTTTCACAAGTGTATCTTCCCTTTTGAAACAGTGTTGATTTCAAAAACCATTACAGTTAACATCCCTTTGAGAGTGAAATGGCTTGTGATTTTGAATAAGATTTTCCACTTTTCTGTATAAAGTTTCTATTTTTCCCTGTCTTAGAATCTTGTAAAATTTAACGTGTAAAATCTTTTATGGCTCCTTTTAATATCAGAATCCAAAGTTTGTGCTTCACCATTAAATAATAGCAGTTGGATGGTGAATATAATATAAAATGAAGGCTCAAAACTATCAGTACCTTGTAAATGTATCACAGGCTATCTGAATATCCTCTATTCTGTGTCAAGTGCTTTCTGTTCTTCAGTAACAAAAACCGTCTAACACTATGTAATTAAGAATATTGGTGGTCTCCATTCCTTTGTCCTCTTCTACATTCCTTATTTAATATCATCTGATACTAGTGGTATTCATTAAATGATCTTTCTACCCTAAAGAGAGACTAATACATTTGTAAAATCATACCTGTTGAATTCTACGTTTTCTCTACATGGTCGTTATCATTTGTACATGTGAGTGTTTTCTTCAAAATTATTTACAACAAGCTATCCCAAAATGTACCTAGAAATTTGCTAATTACATTATCCATTGTGTTCTGCACTGTTAAAAAGAACAAGAAAAGGCCTTGGAAATATTGATCCTAATGATGGGGGGGTCACTATTTCTAGTGCAGAGCATAAAAATACAGTTTTTTTCCAGGGTTCTATTTTAGTCCCTCAACAAGTTGGTTGTTGTTGTTGCTGCTACTGCTGCTGTTCTTAAAATCTATGATACTTTTAAATCTGAAGAGGGAATTTGGGATTTGATTTTAACCTCACATTCTAGAGATCCATTAGGATGTAAATTCCTTGACTTGCATGAATATACAAATAAGGACAGAATTGGCTTTGGCTCAGTGAGCTTCCATCTATATTCTTTCAGTTATACGTACCTTCTTATATTAATGCACTGCTTTGTTAAGAGAAGACTCCTCCAGCGAACACAGCAATTCAAAGTCCTATGCTGCTTCTCAGTTCCACCCCCAAGGTATTTTCTGTTCTGTTCCTGTTGTTGGTAATTCATTGAAGGGCTAGGCACAAAGCAGCTGTCAATTTCCTTGTGAAATTGATCAGAATTATTTCATTGGAGAAAACTGATGCCACAGCTGAGATGATGGTTCATGTATACATTTTGTGGGAAACAGTACAAAATAATTTTTCCCTTCAGAGTTCTGTTGAACTATTATACTTTTGTGCTTCATTTACAAGAATATTTCAAGGCTCCAGCATGTTACTTCAAATTTCCCTTCTCTTCCTTTTAAGAGCAAACAGATTTTTTTTAAAAAAAAAAAATTAAAACCCAGTCAACATGAGTTCTCTTTTCAAGCCTGTATGTGTACCTCATAACAAAAATATTTAGAAAATATTGAGTGAGAGATTTTGTTGTGTAGTGAATGAGTGTAGGAAACAAAAGTTCCTCTGGATGATAAACAAGCTACGTAATCTAACTGCACACTGCTGGTGGTTTATGTGAGTAATGGGTACAGGTGGAAACTGAATAGGTTGTGAGGAACAGTCAAACTGTCTGGAAAGCCCGACTCTGAGCAGGCACCATGGTTGGTGTGGCTTCTATTTTCATCAGGTTGGTGTGGTTAATTTTCTTTGGCTCATTTCCCCTCCCGTTCATCTCCAGCTGGCTAGGTTGGGTTGGTGTTATCTGGGGAGTAGCCTCTGTTGACAATGTCTGTTGGCTGCGAGAAGCACTGTTTACAGTTGATCTGGTTGAGGAGGAACCCGAATGTGAACTCCTGGAGCCAGAAGAAGAAGAACCAGGCTTGACTAATCGAGCTTTTGGTGCCTCTGCATCTTCTCTGTAATCAAAAGAGACAAGTAATTAAACATTTCAAATAACCAGGAACATAGACACACACATATATAATAGATTTTGAAATGCATTTGTAAATCAACACAGGTTCTGGATTATTTGTCAGATGTACAGCAGTATTGATTACATGACATTTTATTGTGAGGGAGACAGCTGAAGTAGTTTATATCCATAAATTGCAATATATGTCTAAAGATCTGAATAAAAAATCTATCTGTCTGTCTGTCTGTCTGACCTACACTTGTAGAATTTCCTTTCTCAAAACTCCAAATCAGTAGTTGATTCACAAAAAAGACCCAGGAAACACTGTGGAACAAAACTATTTTTTCTTCAACAACAGCCATATGTTTTCTATGGTAGAAAATTAATCATTCTACTTAATGGACAAGATGTTTATGAAATTAACATTTTGAAAGCTCATTACAAATGTTAATAATACTGTTATCACTTTGAAAGTTCATGATCTCTGCCCGTTTCCCTCTTGATTTGGTCCCCATTCCCACGACAGTGAACACAAATCTGTGCTTAAATACTGCACTGTGTGTGTTTGTAAAAGTGTGTTATGATCCAAGAAAGCTCAGACAGAAATAAATTTCTTAGTCCTTCAGGTGCCACAGTACTTTTGTTTCTCTTTCTCTTTCGTTATATTGCACATTCTGAAACAGACTTACATGGTTTCATTTTTGAGATAATTCTCTTTAGCTTCATTTCTAAAGAAATGTTTATAATGTTCTAGTGTGTAGATTTATAACTGCAAAAGTAATACTGTATGCAAAATAAATTATAACATTCCTCTTGATAATTCAGAAGCATGCATACTGATACATGAAGTGTGAGTCAGGTTACAAATATTTATACTTCTCTTAGAACAAATATTGAGTTGGCATTCACTAAAATGTATAAGAAGTATAAAGTTACAAATGTTTATATTTCTCTTAGAACAAATATTGAGTTGGCATTCACTAACTTATGACAAATAGAAGGGGAAGATATGGAGGCAGTGACAGATTTTACTTTCTTAGGCTCTATGATCACTGCAGATGGTGACAGCAGTCATGAAATTAAAAGATGCCTGCTTCTTGGGAGGAAAGCGATGACAAACTTAGATAGCATCTTAAAAAGCAGAGACATCACCTTGCCGACAAAGGTCCACATAATCAAAGCTATGGTTTTTCCAGTAGCAATGTATGGAAGTGGAGCTGGACCATAAAGAAGGCTGACCACCGAAGAATTGATGCTTTTGAATTGTGGTGCTGGAGGAGATTCTTGAGAGTCCCCTGGACTGCAAAGAGAACAAACCTATCCATTTTGAAGGAAATCAACTCTGAGTGCTCACTGGAAGGACAGATCCTGAAACTGAGGCTCCAATACTTTGCCCATCTCATGAGAAGAGAAGACTCCCTGGAAAAGACCCTGATGTTGGGAAAGTGTGAAGGCAAGACGAGAAGGGGATGACAGAGGGCGAGATGGTTGGACAGTGTCATCGAAGCAACCAACACGAATTTGACTCAATTCTGGGAGGCAGTGGAAGACAGGAGGGCCTGGCGTGCTCTGATCCATGGGGTCACGAAGAGTCGGACAGGATTTAACGACTAAACAACAACAAACTTATTTACAGAGATCTCAAACTGAGCAGCACTATTGTATAAGCATTTCCCCCATGGAATAGTGGCTATTTACCCTTGAAACTTCAGTCCTGAATATCTTATTTTATCTGCTTGCCATAGACATGCAGACTGTACTGAAACTATGTTCATCACTTTAGATCAGAGAATGGGGAACATATGACTCTCCAGTTAGTTTGATTGCAACTCCATCATCCCAGCTGAACATCCTGACTGAGGCTGATAAAGTCCAAAATCATCTGGCAGACCATAACTTCCCTGCTCTAGACAGAGGGGAAAATACTTTAAGGTATGCTTGTGAGATGCTTAGTGTGGTGTAGTGGATAGAGTGATGGACTAGGATTCAGTGGACCTGGATTTGAATCTCCACTCGTCTATGAAAACTCACAGGGGTGGGGTGGGGATGGGAGTGGTAAATCCACTCCTTAAATGTTTTACCGGGAAAGCTCTATTAGGCTTGCTATAAGATAGTTACAACTTGGCAGCACATATGACACACAATAGGTCTGTACAATGATTTACGGTTACTATTATTTACTGGATTGCTATTGCCTATTACGTGTTTCTCCCATCTCATCTTCACTACTTTTCAAAATATGTCACATGCAGGGAAAGATCTCCCAGTCAATTTTATGGCTGAGTGAGAACGAGAATCCAGATCTCTCAATGTTACTCTGATCACCAAACCACAGACTTCAATGGGCTGCTACTGAGTTAATTACCTTATTTCATTTGGGGCTTCTTCTTCCTCATATTTCTTCTTTTCTTTTCTCTTGATAGTCAGCCAAACAACCAGAAAAACCAGGGAGAGGCCTCCTATGACTCCACAAGCTGCCCCAGCGACTATGCCAAAATTCTGTGCACCTGTCAGTGTACAAAGGTAGACCTTGCTATATTTCATATAAAACAAAATGTTGCCATAACATTTTATGTTTCTTTTGGTGAGTTTCCTTGTTGGACAATCCCTGTATTCACATAATCCAGATACAGTAATTTCTCCTTATGTAACATCTACAGTTTAGCGAGGTGAAATTTATTGTGAGAGTATATTCATAAGACCGTGTGGTTTTAAAATCCCTCATAGTGAGACCAGCAAACTTTCATCTTAAGCATATTTTCTGATATGTGTTCAGTCAATAAAAGTTTGGAAATGTATCCAAAATCTGTGTTTAAATATTTATTTTAGTCCATGCGGCATGTCTGACAGAGTATCCATTTGTAGCAATTTGTAATGTCAAATGTTCTCTAACAAAAAGCTTAATCTGTAAAGCAGTAATTCACCCCCTGTTGTTGTCATGAGTTCCATATTAATAACTGCATGCTTAGATGACTTCTGAAATGTGGGGAGGGGCAGGGGCTAACGGTCTCCTCTAAGAATGATTGCCTGGGTGATCACTGATGAACAAGAATGATATGGTAAAAAGAAAATCAAGGCTAATTGATAGGCAAGAGAGAGGGGGGTATTGAATATTGCACTTCTAAAATTATATAGTATTAATGAAGTGTGTTTTTTCAGTAAATTAGTATTAATGCATCTTAGTACTGAACTGCTTTGAAACTGCTGCCATAACTTTAAAAACTAGAGTCCCATGTACTTACGCTGCACAGTCACCTCTACGATGCAGCTCTCCTGTCCTGCTTCGTTGGAAGCGATACAGTGGTATAAACCTGTAGCCATCCATGTGAGATTCTTCATAAAAATCTGTGCAGGATTGGAAAGGTCTGGAAAAACAAGGAACCAGGTTTAATAAATTAGGTAATGTTAGGAAGTGTAGTTAAGCTATGGAATTTGCTGTCACAAGATCTAGTGATGGCTATTAACTTAGATGAATTTAAACAGGATTAGGCTAACTACCTCCAGAGTTAGAAGTATCATACCTCTGAGAACTAGGTGCTTGGGGATAACAGTGGGAGAGGACTGTCACTCTCCTGTCCCACTTTTGGATTTTCTATAGTCATCTGGTTGGCCACTGTGGGAAATAGAATCTTGGATTAGAAAGGCCTTTGGTCTTTTCCAGCCGAACTTCTCTTCTAATTGCCCCGAGTGATGCCAAGAAGTACATTACAAAATTGAGATGTATCCTGTTGTAATTATGGAGCAGATATTTGAACCCCACTGAATATGTGTATATACATGTTGGGTTGGTAAATAGTTTATTTCTGATGTTATTTAAAGCAGTATGTACTATTCACCGTGTTCCAAATCTTGAGTACTAATTCTTCTTCTGAATATTCTGCAATTTATACCTTATTCTCACAACCAAACTGATATGCCAGGCAGTGAAATGACTGGTATTATGGAGTTCAGACACACTGGCTCTCTGTACTTCTGCTTTTTGTATTTTGCTGACATAACCCCAGTATATAGGCCCAAGAGTCAATTTTGGTTTGAAAACTTTCAGAGCTACAAGCTTAAAAGTCTGCAGGAACAAGGAAAATATTTCAAAAGGTTGCAGAGAAAATAATGCCTAGGTTTGAAATATTCCCATTCAATTGACAGGTCTGTGTTTAGGCATGTCTCATGATCTTTGTATACCTGCAGGCAGCCTGTCTTCCATTGTACAGCTCTTGCCATGTATGATAATCTAGATTTAATTTCGACAAATAGCAAGGAACATCCCTGAATTTTCTTTTCTTTTTTCAGGATGGAAGTTTTCTTCTTTTGCCCTATTCTGAGACTAGAGCCGAACTACCCAGGTTTTTTTTTTTTTTTTGGAATAAAAGAGGGACTGCTCTCAGTGTTTTTATATCTATCCGTTGCCACCTAGGAAGTGAAATCTTTAGGTTCCCTGATACTGTGAAAATGGATAATCATAACTTCTTACATTCCACTTATTTTAGTTCCATGAAATGTATAAATTTTGCCATATTGCCCAAGCATTTTCACCAGCACTTGAACTTTTCTTGCAAATATAAACTCTCTATCCTTTGAAGATATAACCTCATTTCCTTAGTGCTTTTTTCGTCTCCTTCCACAAATTCTTTTTCATTGTCAGGCAAATTGTAATTAATACATTGGTCCACGTGATGGGGGAACTAACTAACTAACTAAGCTTTCCATTTTATAATACCTGTGCATGTCTGTTAAGCATCAGCATCTTAGAACTGCAGAGTTGGAAGGGACCCTATGGACAGATCATCTAGTCCAGCCATTGCCAAGTAAGTACAGTGGGGAATTAACTTCCAACCTCTGTCTCCACAGTCATCCACTAAGCTATCCAGCAGTTAAACACAAAGTCCAGAATCTTACTTGTGTTAATGTAAGGTTTGCAGAGCTCACTGTGGTTAATTGCTGCTAATTAACAAGGTGCCAGTCATGTGTCTGGTTGTGTGTGCAACTGTGGAAAAAGGTGCCTTGTTCCTGAGTTCTTCAATAAATGGGGCCATGTATAAACATGAGAGTCTTACCGTTTCACTGTAATGTCTGAAGAAGTGGACTTGATCCACAAAAGCTCACATTAAACTATAGCAGTCTTTCAGGTACCACAACATTTTTGTTTCCTTATTTTGTTCACCTATATTTATTTATTTTTATTTACTAGATTTCTATCCCGTAACAAGGACCAAATACAGTATATGGGGCACGTTATCCTTGTTGCATTAAATGGCTTAACCAGTGAATCTGGATGTATGGCCAATTAAACAGGCATTTACTTCACCTTCTGCTTAGTTGCTATGTGTAATCTGTCATTGCCGCACCTCTTCAGTTGCAAGAATTGACCCTAAGTATAAGAGAAGTCAAATCGGGAAGACTGATTATATTTGTTGGGGTCTCTATGATTTTGTATTTGACATTCTGTGTATGGAAGCCACCTTTGAATGTCTGGTCGTGGAATAGAGGTGCTCTGTAGCTTGGGGTATTTAGACTTGTGTACAAGTGTGAAGGAAAACAACCAGCAAGTTTCTCTGCTTTCCCTGCTTCTAATTGGTCCTGTCATGAACAATCAGAGCAATACTTTCACAAGGATGAATGGAATGAAATTGAAGTAGAAGTGGCTTACTGATATGTGCCATAGGTGGCAGAGACCCAGTTTTCCCCTCCTCATCGATACGCTGCCAACTGTATGTTATGGGTGTGGTCCCAGAAACAGAATTGCACTGTAAAGAGATTTCTTTTCCTTCAGACATCTGCCCTTCTTTCCAGCATTTGGGTTTAGATGGCTTTTCTGAGCAGAAAAGAAAAATAAGATTAAAGGTTTACCATAATCACAAGTCAGAAGAACATAATATTCAACAAAATTAGCTTTTTAACCAACTTCATAGCAACCATACCAAGAACTTTCAGGGTGATGTGGGTCCACTCGTACTGTCCCGCATTTTTAACTTTGCATGTGTACAGCCCAGCATCACTTGGCTGCAGGAGAGAAATCTCTAAAGAGGCATCTCCTGTTAGGTAATTGGAAGCAAATGAAACACGTCCCTTTTGTTTTTCAGTGAAGTAATTATAGATATTGCCTCCTGCATAAGTGATCACCTAGGAAACAAAAACAGTCACACATCAGTCAGCCTCTCTCTCATTTCCCATTGCTAGTTTGGCAAATAAAACACAAAGTATGATTTGAAATATTAAGACTTTTCAAACTTTGATTCTTTAACAAGATTGTGTGTGTGTGTGTGTTTTCTGTGCTGTCAAGTCAGAACCAACTTTTAGCAATCCTGACAGGGCTTTCAGGGTAAGTGAGATATTTAAGGACTGGGTTTACCAGTTCAACTCCCTCAAGTCAGTTTCCATGGCTGAGTGGGGATCCGGACCCTGTTCTCCAGAGTCCTAGACTGTCACTCTATGCACTGCACCCCACTGGGAATCCCAAGATCACAATCCTTCCAATTCCATTTGTTATTTCGTACTTCACACATACTCATTATTAATAAACGAAGTACTGTATGTTAGCCTTACGTTAGTTCAGTTGTGGAATTATACCTGCTTTGTGTGTTACCACAAGCTTCTTTTAGTTTATATCTATTTAATTTAGTATTGTATAATCTATTTTAGTAATCTAATTTCGTATAATCTATTTGGGTGATGGTGAAAGAGCACTTTGAATTTTGGGTTTAGGCATACCACTTTTGGTTCAGCGTCAGAATCCTTTAGCAGCCATTCTATGTCCAGGCTTGTTGGCTCCAGGAGATGCAGCCGATGGTGGCAGGGCAGAGTCACATTGGCTTCAGCCACCCTTTTAAATTCCGTTTGGGCCTGTGACATCCAGGTTGAACAAGATGCTGAAAGAGAAAAATCAAGTCAGCGGTTGTCAGTGATTGTGATCCAATAAACAATTGCCTTGGTATTTTTGTCTCATGCTTCAATGTGGGCCTACTGAGGGCATCTGGATTTTGTTCCGTGAAATATTCTCTTCCCCATCCTTGAACTATCTCAGCCTTGGGTCTTTGGCACATTATTGTATTTTTGCCTTTCTTCACCTGCTTGATAAGCTTTTCTGTCTCTAAATGGTTTTGCAATTCAGTAGATTGTTAGGACTCTGCCAGCCAGATATGTGTTTGATGAGTAACTCTTCCTGATTCTTTCACTGGTTTCCAGAGAGATTAAAATGCTGGGCCCTCCACACATCAAAGCAGTGATGAACAGATTTCAGGTTTGCTGACTCTATTTTGCTGCTACAAACCCAACATCTCTCGCCCAGTCCCAAGTGCAAAGAAGCTGCTGAAGAACAAACATTGTCTCCTAATTTCCCTTAAGCTGCCTTAATAACAGTAGCCCAATTAATTTAGTTTAACAAGTTTTGTAGTTATTGCAGTTGTCAAATAATAGTCATAACCTTTTGCTGATCTCTTTCAAGATTGACTGCTAGAATCTGACATGGCATGAGACACAGTCTTGCTTTTTATAAAGCTCCTTCATCCCAACCTCCTGTGCTCTAGAAGGGTAATAAACTCTTGGAAACAAATTTGGACAGCATGCTATCATAGTAAGCTTTGTCCTTTATCTCTGAAGAAGATTCATCAGTACTGTTTGCCACTGGCCAAATTCCTGTTCACTTTTGACACATTCTGCAGTAGCACATTGTGTTTATCTGATTATCTGTTTTTACTAGTTGAACAGGAAGATATTCATTTTCTCTTTATACATGCATAAACATTGTTTTCAACAGAGTGATCCTCTGGCTTGCATAACTGAAGTTGGAGAACACTGAAGCTGTCACAAAATACTCTGCCCATGGAGCAGTTATACTTCATTATTATCAATAGGATTTTGCCCAGTGCTGATATGTGCAAGCCATTGGCAACAGCTTGCAAGTTTTGTTTACTTCACTAGGATTTTGTGGTAAAAATCTAATTTATACCCTGCTCCTACAGGATATAGATTTGAGTCTTTTTGATCTATTTGAAGTGCTAGATAGGCTTGGTGGAACTGCAGCTCCTGCAAGACAATGGAATAGTTAAGGAATAACTTGCTTTTTCAGGAGATCTAGAAGTTAATTTTTAACTGTTGCAGCAAGATTGGTTAACAGATTATTGGTGCCGATTTGCTAATTAACTCACAGATTGTTTAGATAGCTTTTGTGAAAGATTATGCTGATACTGATAAATATCAGGGTTGCCATGTGCACAAATCAGATGGCCAACATAAAAGTTCTGTAATTATTTGTCCTAGCAACAGGATGAACAAAATGATACTTTGAAAAGAGAAATGAGGTAGGTTTGCCCCAAAGATATTTATAGTGAAGATTTATATGATATGTGGATGATTTAATATCACAGGCAAAACTATTTATTTGGCTTCTCTAATGAAGGGAGTAGCTTCTGAACTATTTTGAGTGTTTATCACAGGAGTCCTAAAGTGCATTTCTAATTCAAAGATGGGATGGCTGTATTGGGTTTGGATTGATCGGAAACCTTTTCTGGTGGTGCAACCGTACTTTTGCCAGGAGAACATGCGAGGGAAAGTGGAGGGATGAGAGGCTTAGATTCAACATCGCTTTCATTGGCCTAGCATCAGCTCAGCTCATCCTTGACCAGTTTGATTTGTTGTTATTGCCTCCCTAATTGTACCTCAAGTTACATTCTAGTAATTATATAGTTAGTTCCACTGATTTTAGCTTTTCAAACTTCGAGTTAGAGCTTGCCCAGAGCAGCAGAATTCAGTTGTGCATGGAAAGAATTTGCAGCTGAATATGGGTGAGGTTATACTGGCAACAGCAGCTTTATCTTGGCAGATAGGCTGAAGTTTCTGGCTTATAGTTTTAATGTGATCTTCTTGTTTTTACATTTTGTGCACAGCTTTCAGAGTGGGCCACTAGAGGGACTCAAATGCTTTTGTTAATGTTAGACTGAGCAAAAGGAATGTGGAGGAAAAAACCAAAGTATGCAGAACCTAACCTTTTTTTTTCAGGGGCAGTGGTTTTAGATAGGTCATACTTTTCAAGAACAAAGACAGCATACCCCCCAATGACTGATTATACTGATTTTTTTTTTTAACAAGAGTCAGCCAAGTCCTAGTAAAACACCAGACTGCTCTCTTTAGCCTTTCCTTCCCGAGGAGGAATAGGAACAATAACGATGCATGCCCATATCACCTTCCTAACATTCTCTTCCTCTTAACAAATTCTAGATTCAGAAGCTTGACAAAAACTTCCACTGAGTGAGATAGTCAGAGACTATGCCTTAGATGTACTGAGTTTTCTCAGCAACAAGAACAACAAGAAGAAGGATATCTGGGTATATGAGTACACTGATAGGTCAACATATTACTATTCAGAGGTAGAGGCTTTGCATGGTGCAAACTTGTCATGAATGTAATACCTGTGAAAGGCATATGGTGAATGGCTTATTTGAAAATGAAAACTATGGTTTAGCCCCTGGGTCACCCATATTGTGGAGGAATAAGAAGAGAAACTGTAGCTTTGAATTACGTGTTTATATTTTTATTCCAGTCTAAACAGCTTTTTAGCTTTTTCCTTTCTCCAAGTGCTTTTACATCTTATAAAATATGCTAGGTATGTCACAAAGTAAAACACAACCCCTAAGGCTACCATGTTTACCCTCAGTTGCTCATTGGTAATCATCCCCTACTTTCTCCAAAAAGCCCTGTTCCATCATGTCAGTAGCTTCCTAAAGAAGGGAGCTATATCAAAACAGGGTGCGGTCTTGTGTGTACAAATATACAGGCAGCATAAATAGTTAACAGGCATTTCACCCTTCACAATTAACCTGTCAATTACCTTTGAGGCAGAATGTAATGCCTTGATTTGCTTGGTTTAAACAAATGTCTGGTTTCTAAGCACCATGATCCATGTCCCCCACCGATCCACCATTTAGAATTCAGTGTCTTTAAAATCAAAGCATTATTTACATAATATGAAGGTACTCAAGTAGAGAAAATGAATTTGGTGGGGAAACTGATTTCAGATACAGTACTAGGTTTTAAAAATAGTACTATGTGTTTTATGGATTTCACCACAAGAGGGCAGAAATAACCAATATCACAAATGTTTTGAACTCTTAACACTTTTTGCTTCTGCTCTCTTGGCTTGCCCTCAAGAAAAAGTATGCTACTTAAGAACTTCTTATTCAAGTAAAGATCTTGTTCTTCTAGGAAACATTTGGGAAGTTTCAAAATCAACATGGAGGAAAAGTTATGATTTCCTAGTTTTATAAGAAAAACTTCCCCAAACCTTTGTGAAGCTGCAGATTAAGCAAATTGAGATGCAAACAAACCAAAGACCACAAGGCAAAAACTTAAAACAGATGATTAAACAAATCAAGACTCCGAGGCAAAAAACTAAAGTGGGTTTTTTTTAGCTAATAAAATGGGTAAAAACAAGGAAGAGGGTCTTGTGGCACTTGAAAGACTAACACATTTTATTTGGCATGAGGTTCTGTGGACTGTAGCCCACTTTTTCAGGAAAAAAATGGAGATAATTCAAATGAAACATGTAATATTGTGTTTTAATTTGGATTCTTGCCTTGAGCAGGAGGTTGGACTTATAGGCCTCATCCAACTTCTTGATTCTATGATTCTGTGATGAGCATGGCAGTGAGGAGCATAATATTGCACGGCACTTCCAGCATCTATACCTGAGACATGTCTTCCCTCAGCCATATCCCAGATCACAGCTTTTCTTTGTTTGTTTTTGTTTTCTGTGTGCCATACAACAGTGGTCCCCAACCTTGGGCCTCCAGAAGTTCTTGGACTTCAACTCCCAGAAATCCTGGCCAGCATAGGTGGTGGTGAAGGCTTCTGGGAGTTGCGGTCCAAGAACATCTGGAGGCCCAAGGTTGGGGACCACTGCCATACAACACAATAGCAGACTACTAAGAGTCAATCCAGCGCCTCCAAAACTTGGTCAGCAGTCCCATACAGTATTTCATTTCTTGGTCACAAATGCTGCATTGAACTCAGGAACTGAGTGTGCATGCATATTTATGTAGATAAGGAAATTCTATTTATTTTAAAGTTAAGCTCATTATTTGGAAAAAAAATCTAATTTGAATGTATTTTATTTTATTGGTATCTGCTGCCAGTGGTTCTGAGGCATGTAATGGATCACTGAAATTTCTGAAATTGTTAGTAGTGCTTGGTGGAGTAGTAGCAGTGCTGGATTAACTGACGCAAAAGCAGGAAAATGGCACTATTCCCATTTCCTGAATCTAAGGGTGTATTGAAGAATCCTGATCTTACTGAAGCCTATCATGCTTGCAAAGATTAACTGAAGAGGGGGCTTAAAATGGATCATAAAAGACTGCTTACATTCTCTCAGCATGGACTTAGAATTCACCTCTGAATCCTAGGCATCCTGAAAATCCTTTTAATCTGCAGGGAGTTTGATCCCGTAACATCTTGTGTGAATAACTGAAAGTGGCAAGAGAAAAAGAGCAGAGAAAGGAAAATAACTTCTCCTGTTTGTGGCACTTTCATAAAAGTCAATAGGTCCTCATATCTGTCTTTGCTTCAACGTAGATTTATTAGTGAATCCTCAGTATTTAATGATGTTCATCAAATGTAACAAATAAATGTGCCCCATTGTGCTCATGTGATAAGAAATTTTAACAGTATAATCCAAAATACATCTCAATGACTGACATTCTGTCGCTTGGTGTAGTAAAGGCATGTTCAAACGGGGGAAGTTGAAATGGTCTGGTTTGTGATTTTAAAGGTTCTTGTATTTGACACAATCTGTTTTACCTCTCAGGTGAGCCATGAGCCATCTTTCCATTTACACTGATTGACATTTTTCCTCCCATGATAAGAGCCCAGACAGATT